GATCTCCATAAATTTTAACGTCTAGGAAATTACGAAAAATAATTGATAAACGTTGCTACTGCGAAGCGTAGAAACGCTAACGTACCTTTGATTATGATTGAGATACGAGATGTGTGGAGATAAAAGCATTCCGTAGTATATTTTGTATCGAAATTTCGAACGTCGGATTAAATTAGGTTATTCGGTATGGGAAAACGCGAATGCGAACTTTATACTAAGGGTTTAAATTATTAACATCGCTTCTATTTAACCGGCTTAAAAAAGGTTCTATATTCGAACATTTTATGTATTTTTTAAGGTATGTTCATCGATTTCATCAACCTTTATCTGTGGTGACGTCATTATAGTTTCAAGATGTCTATGTTTCTCATACAACTAGTGATGGTCACAGTTTCTCCCCGGATCTTCCCAGTGAGTCGCGATTCCAATCCGGTGGTAGATTCTGCGAAGCACTGCACATGTTAGGGCTAGTATTAGCAATTTTCTCAGGTTAAGCCCGTGACCTCACCCACCAGTCCAAGAGTAGCTGGAATCAGACTACTAGCGATGAGGTAGAAAAAAAAACAGCACACTGTGACCGGGTTTCACTAGTTAATTATTTGATGAATTAGGAAATTATTGTTTCTTCGTCTCATTTTTCAAACGTGACAGCCTTAATAATCTATTCATTAAATTTCTCAGACCCGCATCAAGTCTGAATGTTATCGAATTCAAAAACACGCGTCAATAATATTCTAACCTAAATCTCATAAATTATTCATTCCGATACCAAACGACTGTTATTTTATAGTCGGAATATAAAATATTTTGCGAATAACGAACTTAAGCCATTAAAAAGCACATTATACAATTTCGACGACAATAACACGGATCGCAGGCGTCCGAATGTCGTATCGGTGTAGCATTTGAATTTATTGGGTAGCTTTGTTTTGTTGAAATCTATGCTATTTTTTTGCTCACCTTTTAAAGATGCTAAATAAAGTTTTTGGAACGAAGTTCCTTATCGCGCGTTGTGAAAGGGGGCTAGACGGAAAAAATTCTTACGAAAAGTTGTCACGACACTTTTTAGATCCGTTATTCTGACCAATCAACGTGTAGGCGCTTATCGCGTGACATTGCTCGTATCCGATTGGTCCGCGTAATGAGTACAGTTTCTCGAGATAGCGTTTCAACAATAGTAATTTAGTTCATAGNGCGTTGTGAAAGGGGGCTAGACGGAAAAAATTCTTACGAAAAGTTGTCACGACACTTTTTAGATCCGTTATTCTGACCAATCAACGTGTAGGCGCTTATCGCGTGACATTGCTCGTATCCGATTGGTCCGCGTAATGAGTACAGTTTCTCGAGATAGCGTTTCAACAATAGTAATTTAGTTCATAGTATTGTTTTTTTTATTCTTCATAATGCCGTAATTTATTATTATAACTTAAAAAAAAAATTACAATTCCTTCACTAATTAATCGAAAGGAACTTCGTTCCATCCGGGTGTCCCTTGACACCTCTGAAGTTTTTTTTTTAAGCTATGGCCTTGGTCCGATAATAAATACGGGCTCAGTAGATACAATATCTATTCGATAAAATTGTTATTATGCACCTGGGTTAGCTGTATATTATGACAGAGTATTAATCTCGCATATCTCTGTCAACTTAATTATTTGTGCAATAAAAAGTTTTCTAATTTGATGTTATCGCGAATACGATCACGATGTGGCTTCTCGTGAGACGTTAGCTTGCTTTCAAAAACAATGCATTTTATTATAATAGCATATAGCTAACAGCTATGTACTGGAGTGGAACTTAGAGCATAGAATTCACTGGTCGAAGAGGTGCCTTGTGAGCACGCACGAGTAAGCACTACCAGGTGCCTATATTTACCGTGAAGCAGCAACTCGTTTCGGTTTGAAGAGTAGGGCAGCCGTTATACTATAACACTCAGACTTAGAACTCATGTCTCAAGGTGGGTTGCGGTAGTGCCTATATTGACCGTGAAGCAGCAACCCGTTTCGGTTTGAAGAGTGGGGCAGCCGTTATACTATAACACTCAGACTTAGAACTCGTGTGTCAAGGTGGGTTGCGGAATTAACGTTTATGATCAATGGGCGTCGGTAACCACTTAAGACCAGATGGGCAGTAAACTCGTCCATCCATCTAAACAAAAAAAATACAAGCAGAATTTTAACTAGCTACCAAAATGGCACTAATCGCAAAATATGTAAGAATGTGATTAAATATAAATCAATATATGTTTAAGAGATTCATCAATGACAAGTTAAAGATATAAATCGCGGTTATCATAGCACCAGTACACAATTTAATTCTACACAACAATAGAACAGAACTCATATACATGAAACCAAACGACTGTTATTTTATAGTAAGGAATCTACACAGACTATTTACTTTAAAACAGGATATTGCGTTTGGCAAGCCAGCTTAGAACATTGCAATAGCTTCTTAGCTCCAAAACGCAACAAGCCTGAGATTCAGTGAGATTGAGATAAATTTGAGAATTGCTTTATTTATTTTTTCGTATTTTTTTATATTGCATACATAATATTTTCTAATGTATTGTTATTAAAAAAAGAAAACCTAGAAGACTTTACAAAAAAATCTTCCCTCTCAAGACCAGGACATTTCCAAATAATTCAGCATTTATTTAAAACAGTGACACAAAAATGGGTCATCATTTAACTTCCCAATTGTCTTTTCAGAACAAAATGTTTAGTTGTTTGACTATAGAACTAAAGTGTTGAAACATAATTAATCTATCTACATACAGAATGATCTTAACAAACTTATTACCAGTTTTTTTGTCTAAATTTCGGTCTAATTTCTGTGTGTGACAGTAGCAAAGCTTCGTCCAATTTCATGCAAACTTTGTAATAAGCAAAATTATGTTATCTTTTGGAATTTTTCAATAACGTGATCCTCAAGCGTGTGCGGCCACAATTTAGGAGAACCACACTACAAAATTGTTTTCATTTCACATTACCAATTTTTACGTTAGTCATAATTTTTTTTAAAGAGAAAAAAGGATTGAACCAGCCAGTTGCTAATTTTAATTAAAGTAATAATAAATAAGGTAAAAAGAAATCTTTTCTTTTTCTCTCGATACTCGTTGGAAGGCAGACCTAACGCCAAACAAAAGTAATCCGTATTACATGATTTCTACGGGCAGACGTACTGTCGACTTCACGGCTCATTTCGCGAGTGCCTAATGGATTACAAGAGACGGCTTTCCTGTCTTGACATACTTTCTATAATTCCCGACATTAGAGGCATTAAGTCGCATATTCATGACGATTCCATGATTGGACATATTAAATTGTTATTGTCAGTACTATACACATATATCACTTATTCAAACAATTTCAGGAAGATTCGTTTCAAAGTCTGTATCCAAACAGTGTTCTCAAAAAAAGTCCGGTGTATGTTTCAAATTAAAACCTTAAAAGCAGAACAAATCGGAAATTATTACTATTTATGATAAAAGATCCGAATAATCAAGTTAACCACTTCATAATCTACAAGTTTATAAGCAAAGGCAAGTGGAACAAGTTAACTCAAATATATGTCTCTCAGTGAACCAATAAGTATTACTAGTTAAAGTCCCATAGTAATAAGGTGGCTTTATCTGTTCGAAAACAAAACCATATACGTTTCCACATCTAACTCTCGCTTGCCAAACTGCTACTGATCCTCGTATCCCCAATATAAGTACCTAAATCTATATTATTTACGGGAAAACTTGCTCCACGCAGAACCGTTGCCAAGTCATTTACCGTGCGCATCACATCAGGAGCCGAAAATCACTGTTAGCATTGTCTGGATCAACAAGACAAAGCTAAAGGATCTCCTATTTACAAATGTATGTCTAGTAAACATCTCGAGACAATAGCTCCGGTTTTATCTTTAGCTATTTGGAACACAAAAACAAAGCCATTATAAGAAATCCCGTGATCACTGAACTCATTCGCTTGCTGAATAAAAGTTGACGGCGTATTCACGGCATTAATGAGATTATAAAACTTTTAGACGGATACCTTCATGGCCTGTTTGTGATTCAATACTGTTTTATCTGTACCCAATTCACCAAATATACGATGTACAAGAAAGTTAAAGATCCCAGTTTCTGATTTTACAGTTAAACTAATCCATTAACCGAGTGCTGTGAGTTTCCAAATCGCGGTGAACTATCGGAAATGACATACCTGGTGTTCGATCATAATATGAAAACAAGCGTTCAATCTAGATATGCACAAACGAAGTCTTTGTGGCCTAAAAGACATGGCACCTCGAGCTATGCGACCGATGTTCAAATCACGCAGACATGACACCAATTTTTCGAATAAAAAACCTTATTGACACATGGCCGAGAATTAGTTCTGCGATAAAACAATAACATAATGTAATGTATTATAATCTGAAGTAGTCGTGGGCTAAAGGATAAGTCCGGTGCATTCGTATCTAGCGATGCACCGATGTTCGAATCCCGAAGACGGGTACCAATTTTTCTAATGAAATACGTACAACGTTCACGATTGACTTCCACGGTGAAGGAATAACATCGTGTAATAAAAATTAAACCTGCAAAATTATAATTTGCGTAATTAGGTACTGGCGGTAGGACCTCGCGTGAGTCCGCGCGGGTAGGTACCACCTCCCCGCCTATTTCTGCCGTGAAGCAGTAATGGGTTTCGGTTTGAAGGGTGGGACAGCCGTTGTAACTATACAGAGACCTTAGAACTCATATCACAAGGTGGGTGGTGGCACTTCCGTTGGAGATGTCCATGGGCTCCAGTAACCACTTAACACCAGGTGGGCTGTGAGCTCGTCTACCTACCTAAGCAAAAAAAAAACTAATAAAAATCGATCCAGCAAAAATTTTAATTTGTGTAATTGGTATACAGTTGAGATATGTCAAGTCTGGAGGTGAACGGTGGTATCATACCTGGTAGGCTACGAGTTAAATAATAAATATCTACAATTGTTCTTTCCAGTTGTTTGGCGTATCGGTATTCGCACTATGTCTCTGGATTTGCTTCGAGCCCGGCTTCAATGAATGGATGAGGATCCTAGAACTACAGAAGTACTTCATCGGTATCTACATTATGCTCATTGCCTCATTGGGTATCATGGTGGTCGCGTTCCTCGGATGCGGGTCGGCACTGATGGAAAACGTAACGCTTTTATACGGTGTAAGTACTGAGTTTATGAATTACTAGCGGCCCGCTCCGGCTCCGCTCGGGTCTTTAACAAGAATTTCAACTATATTAGACGTTGTTTTATTTAAAAAAATAAAAGATCACTTCTTGCGGCATAACTATAATAGTTAGACATATGCTGTCGCGACACTTTTTGTAAATAATAATGTGTTGTACAAAGAATTAGTACATCATTTTATTCTAACGTCAATAGTTTTCGCAGGGCACGCGATGTAAAGAATATTTTAGGTAATTTTTTTTACACCTTGGGTTACATTATTAGAGTTTTACTAAGGACTTCTAATTTTTTTCAAAAAAGATTATAGCCTATGTCACTCGGGAATAGTGTAGCTTCCATTTCAAATCGGTTCAGTAGTTTCGGAGCCTATTCAATACAAACAAACAAACAAATCTTTCCTCTTTGTAATATTAGTATAGAAGTATAGACTAGCGACCCGCCCTCGCTTTGTTTCGAGAACTGTAATACATTAAACCTTATTGAATTTTCTGAAATTTTATTTTCCAAATCTGGTCCTGACAATAAGAAACACTATAAAAAAGAACGTAACAAACAAAAAATCTAATCTTTCCTCTTCTTATATTAATGGTTCACTATTTTGGCGATAATGGTCTACACATAAAAGAGATATACTGTCACGGGCTTTTTTGTATGATTATTTAAGATAAACATTTCCATTTTACAATATACACGTGTAACTCCAACGTGTTTTGCGGTTCACGCCAAAATAAGTCAGATTTTTTCGTTCTTACTTTACAATTTTTGTTATATTTTGGGTAAATCACATTATATTTTTATAAACTATAGCCTATGCGTTATTTTAATGTGTAAGTTATATTATTGTAAAGTTTCATCAAATTCCATCCAGTAGTTTTTTGCGTGAAAGTGTACAAACATACATCCATACATTCTTACAAACTTTTACGTTTATAATAATAGTAGAATAATAGGATTATATGTTTAATAATAATATTACTACACTGATATCAACGATTTGATGAAATATTATGCATTTAAGTGATTCTTTTCTCCAACTTTATTTTTATTTTAAATAAAAAGCACGAGATTAAACCATAAAACTAGTTGCAATTATATCTACGACTCGCGTATCCGAAGAAAATACTATATTTGGAATGTATTTTACTTTGCTTGCTTGATTGTATTAACTTTAGTAAATTTTTTAGTAGCAGCAATATAAGAATATATAGCTTAGAATGATTTGTTCGGGTTACAGATTTTGAAATTGTTTTTTTTTTCTTTATTCTTTATTGTACACACGGTTAATACAATACAATAAGAGCGAAAACTTATAAAATGGCGAGCATAACTCAACAATTGAGTTATCTACCAGCTAACGTTGATAAAGAGGGAGAGCTTTATAAGTGGGTAGAAGAGTACAATATAATCTTTTTCTTTATATTGCTTAGATGGTTGGACGAGCTCACAGCCTACCTGGTGTAAAATGGTTACTGGAGTCCAGAGTATTCCACAACGTAAATGCGCCACCCACCTTGAGATATAAGTTCTAAGGTCTCAAGTATAGTTACAACGGCTGCCCCACCCTTCAAACCGAAACGCATTACTGCTTCACGGCAGAAATAGGCAGGGCGGTGGTACCCACCCGCGCGGACTCACAAGAGGTCCTACCACCAGTGTTTATTACCACCAGGCACCAGTTATTCTAATCAATCTAATTGTTTTTATTATTTTCACAGTACATTGGGTCACAGTTAGCTTTGTTTGTGTTTGGGCTGATCGGGGCATGCGTGGTGCTTGACTTTTCGACCTATGACTCCAGTATTCAGCCCCTCATCAGAAATGTAATTGTGCGGCTGATAAATAACCCTCAACATGACGGCAGCAGGGAGATTCTCAGAATGGTCCAAGAAGGGGTAAGACCAAAATATATTACTATTCTTTAGTTAGATTAAAAGATTCTGCACTCTTAAGGGACATATTTTATAATATTTGTACGCACTGGGGGTAGGATTTTTTTTATTGCCCTTGTAGGCAGACGAGCATACGGCCCAAATGATGGTGAGTGGTTACCGTCGCCCATGGACTTCAGCAATGCCATGTGTGTGGGCACGGACAAATATCACTATCCTGTTTATGTATGTGAGTAATTATGTGCTCTAGATTGAAAAGTAGGACAGACTTTACATACAATATAATTTCGTGTTTGGGTCTCAAACTGGATGGTTGCATTCAAGCTGTGATAATTGTGAGCCGAAAATACTAAGAACCAGGACCGTCGGCTAATCCAGTCCTCATTGCAAAAAACTTCTATATTTTTTTACTGTGGTTACTGGAGCCCATAGACATTTCCAACCGTAAATGCGCCACCCAGCTTGAGATATAAGTTCTAAGGTCTCAGTATAGTTACAACGGCTGCCCCACCAGTCAAACCGAAAGGCATTATTGCTTCACGGCAGAAATAGGCAGGGTGGTGGTGCCTACCCGCGCGGACACACAAGAGGTCCTACCACCAGTAAAAACAATTTATTAAAAACCGTTTATTTTAAACAAACATTTAGAAAAATATATATTAAGAATTCATTGAATCTCGAAAGCATGTAAACTGTAAAATGGAGTTACAAAAGCACAGCTCCGCACCCGCCTTTTCGACGATGATGAACGATACGTTTCTCTTTTTTTTTTTTTTCTTTCGTGACAACTGCGGCCACCAAATGCGTCACCTAACGAAGCAAACACGGAAACGCATTGTGAGAACGGACAGTTGGCGCTGTAATTTTATTCAGCTGAGTAACTGGCTCAGCATTAGCCAACANTTTTTTTTTTTTTCTTTCGTGACAACTGCGGCCACCAAATGCGTCACCTAACGAAGCAAACACGGAAACGCATTGTGAGAACGGACAGTTGGCGCTGTAATTTTATTCAGCTGAGTAACTGGCTCAGCATTAGCCAACAGATATAATAAATTTTTTTATGACTTTTTTATTGCTTAGGTGGGTGGACGAGCTCACAGCCCACCTGGTGTTAAGTGGTTACTGAAGCCGATAGACATCTACAACGTAAATGCGCCACCCACATTGAGATGTAAGCTCTAAGGTCTCAGTATAGTTACAACGGCTGCCCCACCCTTCAAGCGAAAGTGATAAAAAAGTGATAAAGTTGAAATAAGAAGATAATGTGTTTATTAGCTTTCGATGTGACATGATTCAATCCCTTCGTAGCTACAATTCAGACCGGCGCACTGGCGCTAATCAAATGTGCTTGTGCGCTACGCTTCAAGCACCGGATACAGCCCCAATCATAAACTCTCTCTGCTCTGAAACTAGATTTGATTGTGAAACGGCGCTCGCGCTAAATGGGGCTCGAGTAGGCATAATGTTTGCAAATATCTGCACACTGCACTAATACCTAATTAGATTCCAAAGTACATAGAGGCTTAATTATGCGGCGTGTAGTTTCCAAAAATTATTTCCCCTTAATTCATTAACGCGGGCAGCGGCGTTCACTAAGTGAAGCATATGAGTTCCGCCATTTACATAGTACTAGCTGAAGCATGATCTAGACTTTCTGAAAATAGTGTTATGTACTTCTTAACTGCTAATCTTGAGAATATTTCCCATTGAAGTCTAATTAAAAAAGATATGTGGTGTCGTGGGACACCGGATAAGAGCGAAGTTCCTTATTATAAAAATATTAATTTAAAGTTCTATTCGAGGTATAAAGAAAATAAAACTGGAGGTTTCGCAACAACCCACGGTCATTCGGTAACGTGCGAACTTGGTACACTTCATTCACGGTTGTTTGCATAAGAGTTAGTGTATTGCGTAAACGAACGCTCTGAGATCGTGGTCAATGAATTTTAAAAAAATATGTTATTTTTTGTACGTTATTACAAAGTTAAGTCTTACACTGTGTGCATTACTAATAAAAATCTTACGTTACGGACGTTTTTTCCCGGTTATTAATTTACTATTTGTAATGTGATACTCAGATCGGTTGCTGCGGTGCAGACGGGCCCATGGACTACATCAATCTGAACAAGCCCCTACCGTCCGAATGCCGTGATTCAGTGACCGGCAACGCCTATTTCCACGGCTGCGTCGATGAAATGACTTGGTACTTAGAAGGAAAGACTGGCTGGCTCGCTGGCATTGTGTTGGCATCTTGCATGGTTTCTGTAAGTACATTGAAATAATTGTAATAAAATTTAAATATTCTTCTATTTCCTCTATCAATAGTGATACTAGTGCAAAGATTTTTATACAATTGAATCTATGGCCAATAGTACTGTGTAACCTCCCTCCGTGCTTCGTATTCCTCAGTGCTGAGGGTCGTGACCTTTACGGAGCACTTTTGTTAGGACTATGTTCCTCCATTCCTCCGCGCAGTGGGTAGTGACATTAAATGAACATTAAAAGAACTGTTTAACAATGCAACATTTAAAGTCTTGGGCTATTTGTCATGATTAAGTTGGTTGCACTTTACAAGCTTGTCGGTTTCATTTGAGTACATCTCCATCTTGAAAATATTTTGTGACAACACCCTTGTCAGAAATGATGTGAATGAATTTTTAGGAAAAAATTCTTCTGCCTCGATTCCTAACTACTACATAGGGTATTTATTACTCTGTGCGAATAAACCGGACCTCTTACACATTAGACCAGGAACGCTTCATGAAACTAGAAATGTAATCTCCATAACCATAGTATAACTTAATAAAATTACCGGTTAGCATTTTCAATTCTATAATAAATACCCAACTACCAATTCCGAAAATAATTAGAAAACAGTATACAAATAATGCAAATGTATTCTTTTCTTCGCAGATAATTAACGCAGTCATGTCTTTAGTCCTTATCCAAGCTGTGAAGAAAGAAGAAGATGAAGCTATAGTATACAAATGAAACTAGGTTTAAGTTTTACATTAATTAAAAGTTTAGCCATATTCTTTTTTCAACTATTTTCTTATTCTACCACCGTATTTTTAAAATAAGTAAAATTACTATTGTCTTGTAATCTTTTGTTTTAATAAAGTATTTTTACGTATATTAATTGAAAGTTTGATTTAACTTTGAGATATAGGTCCATGTTGTCCGGATTAAAGAAAATCTGCAGCTCTAGACTGAATATCAGTAAAATTTAGAAGATTTAAAAAAAATCATGTATTAATAATACAGATAATTTCTAAAGGGAAGTAAGTCGACAAGGGGTTATTGTTTAACTATTTATTACACACATTTATTAACAAATGTGAATGAAACAATATAACTACTTTTAAAGTGAAACTTTTTTTACATCGTCTCAAACTTTTTCGTCTGTGTGATGCATGTCGCGTGACGGTCGGCCGCAGAGTAGGGATAAGGTGAAAGACGCTCATCAGAGCAGCCAAGGCCAATATGGCGGCGCCTATAGTTCGCAGCAGCTGACCGTGTAGTGTATAGACTATTACTCATTTGTGCCAGTGCTCCACGCTATTTTGTTTGTGTGTTTAATGTAAATGTTAATTTTCAGAGTTAAATGTCTATAATGTGAAAAAAAGTTTCACTTTTACCGTGGTTTCATAAAATCACACAATCCTTTTTTCCCTACCTAATCGCTGGCAACCTAAAAGCTACGCGCAGTTTGATAGATGAGCTCACGGGCCTCATTCTAGGTGTACTTACTAACACTAGCCCTAGCAATAGCAGTGCTTCGATGGATCTACCACCACTACTACCTTTGGAACTGAAATATTAATTTCATGTTTATTCTGTTTAATAACGTAACAGAGAAGAGAAGATAAGAATAGATTTTAATGTTTGTACCAGAAGATATAATATTTACAAATAAATGTAATGTAAATACCGTGTATTCTCGCTTTTATTCAAATAGCATACATATAATATTGTAAGCCCGGAACATGTTTTATGTTGATTGCGTTACAACAAAACACACATATTTATTAGCCTACAAAACGGGCATCAACAAAAACCGTTCGTCCACCAGTTTCAGCCAAATTACAGACATTTCATTGTTTCCCCCCCGACAAACACATTTACTGTTGATTGTGGCCACGGTAAATACTGTGATGACGTTGTACAAACAAACGGACAGATGTACAATAACTTTTTTAGTCCTCACCTTTTATATAGAAATCAGGAAAAGGAATTGCCGTTAATGGATCTGGCGGGGGACTTAAAATATTTCCTTTCATATTATACTTACTTTATTCCGTAAACATAAGCGTTCTTTGTTTAATCCGTTTCTAAATCATTATTCTGGTATTAAATAAATAAATAAATAATCCCTTAATTTCGTTGTTGCGTTCATTATTAAAATTCTAATGTTTAAAAAACGTATAACTTTTGAACAGTTACGATCTTCGAATAAATAACAGAGCAGCAGTTTTTTTTTATTTATCGTAGGGTTTAATATGGCAGTAGTTTTTCCCGCTAATGATCTATTTCCTAATACATCGTCGAGCTGCCATGGCTATTATTTATCTTCCGCCCTTAGTAGCATCCTTTGCTAAGCAGACAAGTAGAGGTTACTGGTGCGTATAACTCCGCCCCTAATTTTTTTTTACGTTAGGAGAATCAAATTTACGAATATCCGGCCGATGAGGGATCAGAGTAATGTCAAACTCCGAGACAACTACCGACCCTATTTGTTTTCAGGCAGAGATCTGAATGTCATAGGAGATGCGGGCACCTCGGTTCTAGGGAGTGCGCTGGGTATGTGGGACTTAAAGGTCTGCAGATATTGAATTCGGACCGCGGACCCAAGGTGTTTTCAGACTATACCCAATAAACGACTCCCCTTACACTCTCTCACCCGACGACCTATCTCCGCCCGAGATCAGAATCCAAGCAGTAAGAGGTTCACGCAGTTAGCACTAAGTTTTACTCGTAGCTCCAACAGGTTGCCCGACGGATCATCGAGATGATCGTCGACGACCAACGACGCCGGTATTCGTGGTACAGCAGCCTGCCTGGTCAGAACGCGCACTGGTGGCTTGGTCTTCCGCAGGACGTCTGGCAGTCAACGACCTATCCTCTTGGTGCCAGCGCTATCGCAATGGTTAGCATACGACACAGCATTAACCCTCTCGTTCTGCCATCTCTCTCTGTTAGATGGTGGGACTCGCAGAAGTCGAGCAACGCCTTCTAAGACTGTGGACTTGCGCTTACGAGTCACGATGGTCGGCAGCGAGAAATTCCGTCATATTTGCGCGACAATAGTACACCTCTCCCAACCCTTAAGGTATGGCAATACATCCCCAACAATCCTCTCCCCAACATCAAGGTTGTTGTGTATTTGAGAGAAGTGAAGGCGAGGGCTCGAGTGCAGAGGAATGGATCACGCTATCTGATCAACGTTTGTAGTTTTTATTAGTACCTAAGTTAGATAGTAGTTTAGTTGTAGTTATGAAAAAAAACACAATTGGGAGATGCTTGAAGAGCAACACCAAGAACACGGTTACTCTGTGCTGCGGCCCAGGAGCCAGGCATTAAAAAGCTCGTGTTCCCTACACGAATTCAATCTATCTAAGAAGAAACAGCCAGCAAACACATTATTACAGCAAGAGCAAAAGGTTCTACCCCGAGGCCGATTCTTTGCCCTGTAAGGAGACGCGACGACCCCACAGGCGGTCAATATACAGTCGAGTATGAACCCCCTTGACTCTGGTCCAACTTCTTGAATATTGTAAACGATAAATGAACTGCTATAGGTAAACAAGCTTGTTTCCTACTTTGCTAAGCATGAGCGATCACCCTGATGATGACGATAGTGATGTCACGCCTTTTAAACCTGTAGTTATTAGTACTATTCGGTATTTATTCAAACGTACATATGTAAGTATGTCAATCTCTAGTTTCCATAGTACAGGGAACCCTAGTTTAGAGCTAGATGATATGTGCTTTGTTCCCGATTACAATTTATTTATTTAGTACTTCATAATGATTCTTGAACTTGTTGTTCGCGGGATGAATGTTACAAGCACTCGCGGGCTACGTAACTCTATAGAACATGTCACTAGGCATACATTGTAAAGCCTGCTGAGTTTCTCGCCGATCTTCTCAATGGGTCGCGTTTCCGATCCAGTGATAGATTTGGGGAAGCACTGCTCTTGCTAGGGCTAGTGTTAGCAACGTCCTCAGGATAGAGCTCAGTGAGCTCACCTACTCGTTAACACTAGTCGTAGAACAGGTGGATTGAAAAAAGTTAAAAAAAAATACATTGTAATAAAATCACCATAAACTTCGTTCTACTCATATCCACTTTAGCAACTCACAACACATTTGCCATAAACACCGTTTCCCATAGCCCCCTTCACAATGACAGTCGTTTCAGATTCTATTGTTATTACGACAGCGAAATCTGAACCCGCATGAATATGCATGACTTATTTCAGATGCTTCCTCCACACAAATGTTTGTATAGAAATAACATGGACGTAATATATAAATATACACACACACACACACACAAACATACACAGGACTACGACGCTAATTAAATCGAACCACATTTGCAATATTCGATATCGATAGATATGTTTTTTATAAATACATTTTTTTTTAAATATTGATGCGTTGAAATCTGTTTTTATAGTTTTTTTTCGTGAGTATCCATCCATTGAAATGCGCTTACAAGATCTATCCAGCAGACTGTTATTTGTCGTTTTTGAGTTCGGGCATCTTTCAAACTTTCTCCTATTAAGGTTTTGTTTTTTTGGGCATCTAGAAATACCGGAAAAGAACCCTTTCTGCATATTCTGCCTTAAATACCTATTGCAAATCATAAATTGTGTGACATTCATTTGTAATGTGGCAAAAAATATTTATAAAATTGTATCAGTTAATGTTATCGGTGAGCGTCTTCGGGGTGAATTAATTCATCCTTTTTTTGGATGAAAAGTAAAATCGCTTTCTCGAAAGCCACAGGTATTTGCTTTCTTGTTCTGCCCGAATGTGTGTAAGAGATGCTTACGAACCGACCGACATTTTTCATACAATATGGGATTGCATTAGAGTCTAGAACTGAATGCTCTATTTTTTATTTTGTTTTCCATTCCCTCCTTGATAGGAGGATTACATTGAAATTCAAAAAGAGGGTCCTTGTGTCTCTGGGTGTTGGAATCTCCATATGATTTCTCAGACTTAGGCAATTCATATGCCTTTTATAGTGGTCGTAAACCTTCATTGGTCAAGAATGTGCTGTTACATAAAAATGATACAATGAAAACTATAGTAAAAGTACTTTTTAGTATTTATAATATCTTCGAAAATACTCCTATCTTGTTTGCAGTAATATAATACTACCCCAATGCAAATTCCTACTAGTTTCATTTTCCTCTAAAACAGTACTCTAAAAACAGAATCTTCTTAGACCGACAAAAAAGATTAGTTTTAGTTTTAGAAAAAAGATTACTTCATAAAAGGATTATTTTTTTCGATGTAAGAAGATTCTATTTTTATTTCTAAGAGCCTATGTTCAGTTAAATTTACATCTAAAAAGCAAAACATTTTCATGAAAGAAACCTTACAAGACTTTAGCAAAGAATAGTCAGATTTACCAACGATTACACGTTCAGTTCTCTATCATAATAATAAAGTCCAAATTAACATGAACTCTCCTAAAGATGTACCTTTCATTGCAGAACAAATTATCTTTCAATGTAGTCTGGAGCTCAAGATATTATTGGCAATTTTATTACGAGGCAAGACTGCTTTGGTAAAGATCCTTTATATTCTATGCGGTAGTGCAATTAGTAATGTCTTCTGATTTTTGGTATATTATCTATTGAACACTATTGTTGAATAATCGATATATATATATTTATATATTTGGTTACAGAACCAAAATCTAACTAATAAGCAAATTAAATATGAAAAATAAATTAGAAACATTGACTAAATTA